TCTCGTTGTCAATATGATTTGTTATCGATCTTGATATTTGTTTGAACGTTATTGGACTTGTCATTTTTCGTTTGTGTATTCTCATTGTTCTCTTGTACCTTGCCTTCACAATAGAGGTAAGATCGGTCGGCCCGAGCCCGACCCGGGCCTAAAATGCCAATCATTGCTTCGGGTTTGGGTCGGGACAGGTCGGACTTCTCTCTCGCTGCCCTTTTGTTTTTGTTTTTTTTGAGGCCGTCAATACTTTTGGCCACGAGAGACCGTGGTTCGCAAAAAAAAAAAAAACAGAAGTCGTCTCATCACAACATGTACTGTACTAAACTCTTGCAGTGACAATTTAAAGAACTCCTTCCTGCCTCTCTCTATTATCCAGCCGTCATTGTTTTTCTTTGTCTCTCTGCTTCTCTCTCTCTCAGTGCCGTGCTAGATTCTTCAGGACGTACTGCTGCTGTGGTTAATGGCCCAATTTTCAAAACGTCAAAATACGGACGGCCTTAAATTTTTCCGACAACTCTTAAAAAAAAAAAATAATCCGTCAATGATGGAAAATTGTTGGTTAATGTACCCTCTGCAGAAACAGAAATACATGTTTAAAAGATGTAAATATGTATGCAGACTTGTTTAACTTAGATTTCGTGACAAAAGACAGGCTTTAATTTGTTATCACAAATCACCCCTCCTCCTCCCGAGTCATCACAAATAAAATAGGAAATGTCGGGTTTGATTCGGGCTCGGGCCTGCAAATCAAGTTAATTGGTCGGGCTCGGGCCGGGTCGGGTTGGATTTTTTTGGGTCGGGTCGGGCTGGGTTTTTTTGGCCTGATCTTACCTCTACTTCACAAGCACTTTTTTGTTCTATGTGTTGTTTTTTTTTTCTGACTCCTTGTGGCCAGGCAAGTTAGCTTGGTGTGACTGTGATTAAAGTACAGATCGGGATAAAAAATATTTTTTCTGAGCTTATTTCTTGTTCAAGCCAACACATATTGTTGTGGGAAATAATTGAGCACGCACCAGCATAATATGTTTTGGTTGTTTATTGTGGCCACCTACTTTTGAACAAAGCATGTTTGTTTTTTCGTGACAAACGTCACAAAGAATGTTCATTCAAGAGGAGTAGCAAAAATTCTCTGTGAACCCCTAACAAGACAAGTTTTTGCTTCTGAGAGCCCAAAAGATCCTTTGCTTTCGAGACAGTTTGATTGCCTCGTGTGACAGCTAAAAACTCAATTTTCAAATCATACATTATTTTGTTTGAAAGCAAGAATTTCAGTTTAATATTCATGAAATTTGTACTTGACGATCGAGCCCGCATCTAGAATGTCGGTGGTGGCCCGACAACAGTGGCGTACTGGTCCTGGGCCATTAGGCCATTGGGTCACCGTTAATGTCGGATCCTGTATCATTTTCCATTAGTTTGTACCATTACTTCGGACCACCTGGTAACATTAAAATAGATGTGAGTGACCTTTGGGCGAAACTTTGAAGAGAGGCAACATGATACCAGCATAGAGAAGCCAGAGGTGGTGGGCGTGGCCAATGTGGTTGCAGCTTTGTGTCACAGTGGATGTTGTTGCAAGAAGGCTGCTGCAGGCTTCAAGATTGTCTTCGGGGGTGGGACAAGCATGACAGTGGAAATCAGGATGATCTTAATATATACGGGAGCTTTTATTTTCCACCTCTTGTTTTCACGGACATCATTGTCCGTGAATACTTGGTTTTCTTTCTCTGCTCAGTTTTTTGGGGAAAGGTTCAACTGCTTGCTTCTGCCACGAATCTTCCTTTTTATTGCCTCAAGTGCTATGTGCTTTTTTGATGCAAATAACATGATTTAAGACATCACAGACACTTGGAGAAGGGTGTCCAGTCAACATGGATGACATGAAAGTTTTGCGGAAGAAGAACCTTGCCCTGAGGAATGATGCTGTGAAGGGGCGGAACCCCTGTTGTGAAACTAGTTTGAGTGTCGCAACTGGTAAATTTTCTCATACATGCAGCTGGAATGAGCAGATAATTGGTACGCTGACAATACATTTTTTTGTGCATGGAATAATGAAGGTAAATGACAAATGGGATTTTGCTTGTATCATGCTTTTAAAGGCACTCAAAGCACTTGAACAATCCTCATCAGCATCAGGACCAAGTTGGGGCTTTGGTATTTTGCTCAAGGACGCTTGAGCATGGTCACTCGGACTCAGGATTGTAACCAAGACCTTCAGGCTGGAAAATGATCATAATACCACCTCAGCCCCATAAGGATTCCGATTGTGCTCTTGTCAAAGTTTCACTTCAGGTTTTTGTTATGGGACCAACTGATGTGTGTCAGGAAACTGGAGAGTACTTTTTGGAAGCGGTACCAGACTGACTGTGGAGACTCGTAAGTTTGGCTTTGATGTATCGCAATCCAAATTGTGTCACTACCTCAAAAACATGAGATAAAAAAAGATGAACTAAATTTTTTGTGTCAATTTTTTTACACCGTGGAGCCTGTTGAGGTTTGCAAGTTCAAAACAAATCTCAGGAGGTTCTTGTAAAGGAAGCAACTAATGTGTGACAGGATACAACAGGTTACTTTTTGGAAGTGGAACCAGATTGACGGTGGAAACCTGTAAGTGGGATTTTTTGGAAGATAATTACCGGTACTTAGTTTTGTTTTAATTAAAATCTGAAACAGAAACTTAGCTAGTTCATGTTATTTCTTTTTGTTTTGTTTGAGCATCATATTGTCTGAGTATGTAGTCGACATTTGGATGTGGAAACAGATTGAGTGTTGAACCCGGTGAGTGGAAACATGGCAAAGTCTGTTTGGCGGCTCAATTAAATGAAGTTTGCTCGTTCCATGTTTACATGCTTTGTGTGAAACTTTCACAAACTCTGTCATGAACATAATATGAAAGCTATTGTTGCATATTAGACATGTCAAGAACCAGCAAGTTTCTTCAAAACTACAAGCACCATAAAACCAAAGTGGATCACTGGAAAAAAAAATCTAAGCTGTTTTATTTCCATCTTGATTTAGATATTAAACTCAAAAATTAAACACGAAAAAAGTAGTCATTCGTGATGTTGGTCTTCGTGGACGCTCAACCAGGGTTGCAAGGTGGTCTCGAATTGCCCACGTCACATGCACATCCACAAGGGGAGCGCTTGCAGTTTCGCTATATTAATGCACTTTGCACACACCAACCTGATACATGGACCCCAGTGAGTCAATTTTTCCACTTCAATAAAGTCCTTCGACTCCCTTGATTTTAAAAGGAGTGAGGGGAGCCACTTGGATTGGTCATTTATATTCCATATAATGG